AATCAATACCAGTCTTGAATACCAGTCTTGATATGGATATGGAAGCAAAACACGACATCATGTTGACACACAAAATATCTAATTAAAAATATTTAAAAATTTTAGAAACATCTATATTTATAGAATCTAGAAAGAGTGTTACTCACACATTCTGGATGTTTTCTTTATTCCATTTTTGAATGAAATGAAGCCTAGAGACCTTTATGTCATATTTGGTAGTGTCTCAAGTTCTTGATCCCAGAGCAAAAGGTCTCTGGGGTATTATTGATCATCACAAATCGGTAATAGGCAGTTTGAGGTATGAATCAAGAATCCTTTTAATCATCGTAATCTATAATGGATAGTCGGACTCTATTGACCTAAAAGGCCTTCAAATCATCACATTTGGTGTGCACACTTTGAGGTTCTCGACCTCAGAGATATGTAAGTCATCAGGATCTGTACTCAACAGACGGAAATTCTCATCCTCATCCTGTTATGGTCATCGCATCTATCGTCAAAAATTAGTAATAGACAGTCTGAAATTCCTGACGTCACAGGCCTTTAAACCGTCATAATCGGTAATGGACACGCAGAGATTCTTGACTCTATAGGTCCTTTAATCATCATATTTTATAATGGATAGCCCGTGACTATCGACCTTACAGGGGTTGAGGATAACAAATTTAGAATAACATCATATTACAAATCTGGAAATCAACATAAATTCATATCGGAAAGTCTAAGGCTTTAAAGCTAAGAGTTCCGCAAATCATCATAATCGGGAATAGAAAATCTGAAGTTTCTAAGCCTAGAGGTTCGTTTATCATCATAATTGGTAATGGATATTCTGGCATTCCCGATCCTAGATGCCTCTAAATAATCCCATAGGTTTTGAGATGTACAGTCTGAGGCTAATTATTTTTGGGGGCTTAAATCAATACAGTTAAAATAAACTGTAGAGGCCCGTCACCTTAAAAATGACATCATCACAATTGGTATCATCGGAAGCCCTAACTCGAGAGGCTTTTAAGTCGTCGAAAATGGTTTTAACAGTAAGAGTCTCGCCATTGTAGAGGCGCTCCCATCATCACAAATAGGTTAGACAGTATGAGGCCCGTGGCCTTTAGTTCTGAATATGTAGCAGGTTCGAATAATTCTGTTTGTTCAGAAAATTGTAGGCGGGCGCAGCTTTTTTACAATTCATTGCTGCATGAAAAAGCACAGATCCATGAGGTTTTCATTGAGTTTTATTAAATGTAGCTCGTTAGACTTGAATTTTCAAATATTTCATTTCATATATTTTATGTAAATTAAATGAATTTTCTTTGAAGTTTGTTTTGTAATATTTGCCAACTGTCAAAAAATAATATTTTAAAAGTGAATTGAGAACAGTTTCTGAACTTACCAATATTTTTTCTTGTTAAATTTATTTGTGTTTTGTCAAATTCTTAAAATACTAAAAACAAAATTATTTTTAATAATTTCGACTGGCAATTTTCGAACTTACCATTTTACCATTTGTTTTTAACATACTTATTCCAGGTTATGATTTGCATTTTGCATGATTTTTAATTTCATTTCAAATCATTATTTGGTGTATATATAAAAAGTCGCCCAACCTTATTATATTATACTCCAAATTTTTTTAACTATTGCACATTATGCAGTGCCAATAATTAACAATTTTGTACTGTTAACTTTTAATTTGGAATTTTGAAAAATTTCCGAAAAAAGACCGAAATATTTTCTGTGATGAAGATACTTACTCTTCAACAAATCATTCTTTTATGAAGTATCAAAATTTTTTATTTGGTATATCAATTTTTTTTGAAAATATTTCAAAATTCACCGCAAACTCGATTTATAATATATGTGAAGAAAACTGAAATAATGACAGTATCTCTCCATCACAATCACATATGCTTTTGTGGATTTTATGGATATTGTGTGAATAACAACCTTAACATAATTACTGCCGATTTATTAGGTTAATTGCGATAGGTTAGACATACTAAACAGCATTTTAGCAAAACATGTCGCTTTTTATACGAAATTATTCATCTAATTTTTTAATTTCTTTATCCAGTCCTTGAAATAACTAAACAGTACGTTCAAGCTATTGCAATCATAAGTGAACACATGATCATATAAAATCGTATCGTCTAAAAGTATCCCATTCCCATAGAGCCATGTAATGCAGACAGTCGTAGGAAAAATGATTACTGCAGTATCATTATCAAGCACGGCTTTTAAATAATACATTAAAACGTATATTTAATGTCAATAGAGATGGAACTATTTTGAAGGATAAAGAGAATAAATATTTCAATATATTATATATATAATATATTTTCCAATAATTTTCATAATGTAAACTTGGTATTCTTGTACTTTTAATAGTTTCTGGTATTATAAGCAATACACACGTTTACTCGTTTTGGATCCTGTTTTCGTGTATTTGTGCTTGATGATCGTCTTCGATCATCTTCGATTTTTTGGCTCGCTTTTGGCTTGCACTTTACTAATTTTAAGCGGATTTTATGAAATTGGTCTTTTCTTCCTTTGTGCTTCTATTCTGACAGTTTTTAATGCTGTAAACTAGCACTTTGTTTAGTTTACACTGAGTTCGCTCGCAACAGTTAAAGCGACTTAGGTGACGAGAAACAAGCAACTTAAAATATGCGTCTAATCGCGCGATGCGTAATATTTTTTGTCATAGATGGAATACTTCCTGCGATATTAAACGCACAAGTTATATACAATTCTCTCCATCTCTTTTAAAACGACAACTTATTTGTAGAAGAATTAACTGCATATGGTTTTTTAGGTGTAAGATGAATTTCTATATACATATTAAGTTAGTCTCTAGATTGAAACATTTGAATCCAGAGCCAAAGCTGGTGTTGGAAAAAGAAAATAAACATATGATATTTTTAGAATCGAAAACGAGAGTTCTTTTATAATTGTCGCAGTCAGAAAACGTGGATTTGGTTTTAATTTTTGATTTATGAATTAGAAACAAATTTGTTGTTTTTGTCGCAGTCAAAAATAAGAAATCGAATTACTTCAACCTCAAATGCAACAGTTGTAGCTGCAACAACAATTACAATTTCAAAATGTCTTGAAACCACAACCTGAGATCGTTTATTAGATCCATTGAGATCCAACGATCGCGTTATGTAAATTCAATTAGTTTATCGTTGTATATTTAAAATTAATTGGAGAAGTCGGGCGGTCTGTAAGAGAACTTTATGATGTTGCCATATGGAATAAAAAAAACTTATGCTGAGATATATAAACTCTTCAGGCAAGTTAAAGTTAATAATTTGGAAGAGCTTTTCAAAACTTTCACTGAAACATGTGAAATAAATAAATTATATCAAGTTGATGTTAAGAAACCTGCAATCTGATGTTGATAGATCCATCTGATGTTGATAGAGATCTTGTAGATTTATTACGTGAGAATATAGCAAAAGATGAAACTCTTCAGGATGTAATAAGTAAATATACTAAACTTAGTTTGATGACTGATAGAAGAGCAATAGATTATAATCACAAGATGACTAGAGCTGAAACAAATATATATACAAATTCAGTTGGAAAGATACATGAAACTAATAATTATTCAATTCAACACGAAAATTTTAGTAACAATTGTAATCAATATAGTGGTCGAAACAATAATATAATTCAGTGTCATAATGATGGTTCAATTCAACAATATAGGAATAATTGGAATAATAGATTAGGCCAACATGAATATAATATCAATATTAATATGCATAATACACTAAAATTTGATAAAATAGAGCCAATTCAAATCGATAATATAGAAAAAATTCAGGAAGTAAATTTTTCAATGATTCCTCAAAACCGGAATTATCCCTAATAAGAATAAGAATAACAATAAAAAATAAAAAAATATTATGCTTGAATGATTCAGATTTAAGTACAAGCATTATAAAAGCATTTTTATTTATTACTCTGTGTGAAGAAAAAATCGCGTAACCACTTTGGTTTAGTAACAACTAAATTACTCACACCAATAATAAAACTTAATGCCTTTGAGACCTTCTCGTGGAGGGTTGCGGATTTTCCAAATCGTACATATAATGCTATTATGGGCACGAATTTTCTAACCGCTCTTAAAGCCAAGATTTACTTAGAAAACAATTCCAATTTAAATAATATTGCACTGTTAGAATCCGATTTTGATATAGAAATGAATTCAGATCATTTAAATATTGAGTAAAATAACGAAATAGGACAACTGTTGAATCAATGTCAAGAACTATTCTTTAAAGAATTCTTTTTAATTGTTATGCAAAAATACAGAAAATACAGAAAATATTTCCCTTATTATTAATAAAAACAATACTTTCCTAAATTTTCAGTATGTAACATTCGAGGTGCAGAATTGTGTAATTTGAAAAACTGTCACCATTTGCACTATTTGCATGGATTATTATTAACCTGCATTTCCATATATATTTCATATATACTTAACTGGTCTAATTTAGAGTTATTTTTTTTTTTAAAAATATTTCAATACAATCACACATGTGGAGAAGATAAAAATAATTATATTAGAAATGGAACAGCCGGACACCTTACCGGATGATTGTAATAATGTGAAGAGACAGAATGAAAAAACTCTAAAAAGACAATAACCCTCTCTATTTATTTAACTAATCTTATGGTTATTACATCTTATCTAAATAATCGATTTTCATATATTTATTTATTAGTCTCAAACATTGGAACGACTATGCCAGTTACATGACAAGTCTATAAGTATGAAAAATAATTTCAACACTTATTTAAATATTTTTTTTTATTTTTATGTTTTTGTATAAAAATGTCCTTATAAATATATTTCATCTTAAAACTAAACATCTTACAACTAATTGCATTAAAGATATGCAATATACATCATCAAAATGGATCTGAATCTGGTTTTAACTTTCAATCTTACAACTAAATATCTTACAACTAAATATCTTAGAACTAATTGCATTAAATATATGCAATACACTTCATCAAAATAGATCTGGATCTGGTTCTAACAGTCAATGCGTATTTAAAATAGTCAATTTGTTGTTTAATATTCTGAAATAATAATTATGCGAGTCTCTTGCGAGTTAATATAAATCCCGTTTCAGTAGCTTATCAAATGATGCCTGTCCATTAATGCATCCATGTAGGTAATTTTGGATGCTGCAATGCTGCATATCTAAAAATAGAGAACAGAGGGAGAATATTGTTAAAATTGATGATGTGAATAAATGTTCAAATAAGACATACCATAACATGATCAATCGATTAATCAATTAATGAAGTCAGTGAAAGCAATCGTTTTCGTCATTCATACGCGGCATCTTACGTTTCCATACATAACTCATAAACATAGCCAAATATACACATTTTCCCATGTTATTTCCCCAATGAAACAAGTACTGGTTTAAGATTTCAGATTCAAGTAATTAGAATACAGTCAGGTTCTTAAAGGAGAAATAACATTTTAATTAAGATTCCATGCAGTCCATGCAAAATCTGACGAGTTATGTTGGTGAGTAAGTTCCCAATCAATACCAGTCTTGAATACCAGTCTTGATATGGATATGGAAGCAAAACACGACATCATGTTGACACACAAAATATCTAATTAAAAATATTTAAAAATTTTAGAAACATCTATATTTATAGAATCTAGAAAGAGTGTTACTCACACATTCTGGATGTTTTCTTTATTCCAATCTTGAATGAAATAATAATCGGTATTACCGATTACCACAAATCGTTAATAGGCAGTTTAAGGTTCTAAATCAGGAGACATTTTAATCATCATAATATGTAGGTAATGGACAGTCAGGGACTTTTGATAAATCAGACCTAAAGGTCTTCAAATCATCATAAATCTGTAATAGGCAGTATCAGGCCATTGAATCAAGAGGCCTTTAAATCATCATAGTCGCTAATGGATAGTCGGAGACTATTGACCTAAAAGATTTTCAAATCATCACACTTGATGTGCACACTTTGAGCTTCTCGACCTCAGAGACATGTAAGTTATCATAATCTGTACTCAACAGATGGAGATTATCATCCTTATGTCGTTATAATCATCTCATCTATCATCAAAAATCGGTAATAGACAGACTGAAATTCCTGACGTCACACGACTTCAAACCGTCATAATCGGATATGGACACGCATAGATTCTTGACTCTATAGGTCCTTTAATCATCACAATTAGTAATGTATGGTCCAAGACTATCGACCCTACAGGGATCAAGGATCACACATTTAGAATAACA